GGACTGGCCTAGGGTAATTTTTAAGAGGGGTTTTTAGAGGGGTTTTTAATTATATTTTAAATTAGACAAGTTAAATATTTCATTTTAATTAATTTTAAATTTTGTGATGTTATTGGTGTTTTTAATTGATTGTCAGCCGCCCTGAGTCCGCAAGGAGAAGGGCGGGATATAAATTCGAACAATAAATAAATAAATAAAAGCATGTTTGACTTTGGCTCATGTTCATGAGAATTGGCCTGTTCTTCTTTTTGCTGGAGGACACAAACCCCTGTGCCTCAAGATATCTACAGTATATGCATGCATATGGACACCTGTTTTGCCCGGAAAAGACCTAGGTTCAATCTCTCCAACTAAAAGAATTATGGGATGCAGACGAAGGAAAGAGTCCTTGCCTAAAATTCTGGAGAGCTGTGGCTAATCAGGCTAAACAGCATCGGAAGATGGGTCCAAATCTAAGTCAGTAGGCACTTCTCTTGGTGCTGATCACATTTCTCGCCCCTTTTGGATATTATTATTAATTATTATTATTTCTCTGAACTTACAAAATTAGAAGCTGGTATCATGGAAAGTAAGCACATCAGCGTTTAGCGCAGACGTGTGCGTGTGTGTGTACATGCACACAAAAGCAAACACAATGCCCTTGGATCTGACAGACACCGAGGAGGGAAAAAAGATGAGTAGTTGCAGTCCTGCTATCTTCCTGCCCAAAAGAAGAAAGAAACTAAGCCAATGTGATAGGAAGCATCCTTTAGGAGAGGCTAAATGGGGAGCATTTTTTTAACACGTTGTCTTCCTAGTGATTGTGTCCCAACAGTAAACGTTGTGTGAAAGCGCTTGGCCTCCTCTGAGGATTCCTTGGCACGAAGGCACTCACAGCATGCTTTCAGCTGCCCTGTCCCTGGGCTAGATCATCTCTTTGCCTGGATCCCCCAAAGCAACTCTTTCACCCTTTGCCTTGGACAGCTATACGTGGGCTGGGCTGGGCCCTTCCCCGCTTCTCAGGGCCTCACCGAGTCAGAACTGGAATCCTCGGGCGGCTGTTTGATCTGACTAGCAATAGGAGCAGGCTGGCTGATCACCACTGTGTGAGATGGCCCATGGGCACAGGGAGGCGTGGTGGTCACTGCCCGGGTGTCACACAGGCTGTAAGAACTGAGCTGAGCAGGCAGGCGCATGTCCTCGGGGCATTCGTCCTCGGAATCAGACAGCGGGGAGTCCAGGGAGCCTGGAAGATGAAAATGAAGATGGCGTTAGGTGTGTGTCCGTGTGTGTGTGTGTGTGTATAAACAAATCTCTCCCAGAATCAATGATGCTCCCAGCAGAAACTGACCTTGCAGAGAAAAACATTGCTCTAGTTAGCTTCCTAATGTGAACCTGAAACTGGATGCTTGTCCAGGAGATAAATCTTCCCTCCCTTCCATTGGTGCTCCAAGCACATGCTTATTTTGCTAATGGTTAATTCAGGGTTGCTGGGTGGGATATTTGCAAGTTCCTGCCCTACAAAAGGAGCTTAAAGGCAAGGTGCTCCAAAGAACAACAACAACAACAATAATAATTATAATAATAATAATAATGTTGGAAGGGATCTTGGAGGTCATCAATATCTAAAGTCTGACTTTATGGAATACGCCACAGAGTTCCCACAGAGTGAGACAAGAATGGAAGCATCACAAAGTGCACCAACAGAGAGTTTTTCTCAGCTATGGCCCTACCCAGGGTAGTAAACATTTAATAACCAGATGTTGCTGCAGTGCAATTGCCATCATTCCTCACCATCGTCCCAGGACTCCTAGGAATTAAAATCCATCAACCCTAGAGGGCAATATATTGCCCACTTCAGATTAAATATGGGAAGAAAAGATTTGGCTAAACTAATTTCTCGAGAAGCAGTTTCAATCTCAAGGTAAACGCCATCCAGATCCCTGCCCCTTGTGTTCTGGATAAGTTTAAGGATGCCTGAACATTTAGATTCACAAGTCTAGTTTCACAGAACTCAACCAAGTCTGTTGATCCCTACATCATCATCATCATCATCATCATCATCATCATCATCATCATCATCATCATCATCATCATCATCATCATCATCATCATTATTTTGCCTGATAGCATGGACTAGAGCAGACATGTCAAACACAAGGCCCGGGGGCCGGATGCGGCCCGCGAAGTGGTTTCATGTGGCCCGCGAAGCCATCCTGGAAACAGTGAGGGAACGGCCCCCACTGCCTTGGCCCTAGCCCAGGCCGGCCGGGAGCCAATGTACAATTTTGTGGTGGTTATCTTGGCACTTGCCCCGGTGGACTATGCCTTGACACTTGCCCCAGTCCCACCCCCTTCTGCCAGAGACCCTCAGATCTGTCCCATTCGTGCCCAGGCCCCCATAGGCACCCTTGACGTGAATGATGTAGAACTGGGCATGCCCACCCAGTAGGCCACACCCACTCCATCCACGCCCACCCAGTAGGCTGCACCCACTCTGGCCACACCCACCCGGGCCCCCCAGGGCAACCGCAATGCTGATGCGGCCCTCAGTGAAATTAAGTTTGACACCCCTGGACTAGAGTCACTAAATATAATTGATCGGGCTGCCAGGTAACGGTGGCGGGACTAACCAGGAGTATCCAGAGCTCTCTCCTCTTCATCATCAATCAGAACTGATTCACTCCATTTCTCATCTGCCACTTTCTCCAAACGTTCTTCAAGGCGGCGTATGTACACCAGCAACTCCTGAAGGCAGAGAATGGGCAACGCATCAGCACTGAGCCCTGAACGGTAACGGATTCCTCTTGCCACTTCATAGCTTCTTCTCCTACTAAATTCAGGCTACGGCCAGCCTTTCTTCCCTCCCCATTTGGACGCCACACCAACCTGTTTTTCGTCCTGCAGTTGCTCTTTCTCCTTCTGGGCAACCTGCAAGGCAGCGCGCAGCTCCCGTAGCTCCCGGCGGCTCTCGGAGACTTGAACCTGATGAGGGCAAGAGTGACGTTTGCTGGAGCAGAATTTTAGAAGAACATGTCTAGAGAGTTATGAAGCCCACCATGGAACTAAATACAGGCAGTCCTCGACTTACAACAGTTCATTTAGCAACCGTTCAAAGTTACAACGGCACTGAAAAAAGTGACTTATGACTCTTGCAGCATCCCCAGAGTCACGTGATCAAAAAATCAGACACTTGGCAACTGGTTCACATTTATGACGGTTGCAGTGTCCCGGGGTCAGGTGATCACCTTGTGCGGCCTTCTGACAAGCAAAGTCAATGAGGAAGCCCGATTCACTGAACAACCATGTTACTAACTTAACAACTGCAGTGATTTACTTAAACAATGTGGGAAGAAAAGTCGTAAAGTGGGGCAAAACTCACTTAACAAATGTTTCACTTAGCAACATAAATTTCGGGCTCAATTGCGGTCATAACTCGAGGATTACTTGTAGTTAATGCTCATGCCCAGTGCTGGGATTTTAAGACAGCTCCTTTCATTTTTGGAAAGCTCTCTCCATTTTCTAGGGCCTCTATTTTATCCATGGGGCAGAGCCTCCCCTTCATCACTGGCCATCTCCATTCCCTAAAGCAGGGGTCCCCAACCCCGTCTGTGGATCGGTACCGGGCCGCAGCATGCCAGCAACCAGGCCACACAAACAAGCAAAGCCCCATCCGCAGGATGCAGGCAGCACACAAAACCACGACTCTTCCGGTCCCCGGAAAAACCTCTCACCACATAACCGCCTAGATGGTTCCGTCCCAGGCGACTGATGGACCCAGAGAGGTTCCTGACGGAGCTTGGGCCTTATCCGGAGGATCTGGTCCACGACTCGGCGGAAAATCAGGCGGCGGCTTGGGAGACAACTGCCGCCGCTGCATTGGACCGAGTCGTGCCTTTGCGGCCTCTGACCCGGCGTAGATCTCGACTGGCTCCCTG